CTCCCCAGCCACTTCGAAGGTTTTCGCTACTGGGGGACACGCCACGCACCTTCACACAACAGCTCACGCTCATTTTAGACAGTTAAAATCTTATAAATTCTTACTCTGAGTTGAAATTCCATTGCTTCTTAACCTAATTCTATTCTTTAGAGTGATACAGAACAACTCTCCTCTACCTTCTATATAATCCTCTGAATATTTGAAGACAAGCTTTATGTCTTTCTATATTTTTTCCATCTCCATATTAAACATTACCAATTCCTTCAATAAAATCTCACATGAACATGGTTTCCAGATGTTGCTGATAAATTTGAGTTGCAGTTTGACTCTAAAATTTCCCTAATTTGAATACAAAGAAGAGATCTGAAGATTCATTTATTTCTAATTTATTTGCATCTTTAGTCAACAAATTGGAGGGACTGTCCAGAACTCCATAGGCCCCTTGGCTCAGGAGCTGTATTCTTTCTGATAACTGATGTCCCCACTCCCAATGCACACACATACAAGCAGGCTTTCTCCCTTTCTCCCTTTTTCTTCCCCTCCTTCCTGTCTTACCACCACCACCACAGATACACACACATCCCAGTCATAGAGATAGTTCTGTGATACAAGAACAGTCAAAGAACACTGTCTCTCCAGCCACAATGACTGGCTGAAAGAACACACAAGCTGAAATTTGTCAGTTATTCTCCAAGACTTCTCAGAAAAGAAACTCTCAAGGAACTCAGAGAAGGCCTGCTTTCCTCTTGGCTTGCTGAGCTATTAGATGTGAAGGTCATTCATCCACCTCATGGGATGAGCACAATTTAGTAGAAGGAGATCACTCACTATGCAAAAGAGTGTGGGGACAGAGATCCTAGTTCCAGTCAGTCCTGAAACCACCTCTACTCTTTCCTGGGGAGTAGTTACATAAGTAACTCCCCTCTGGCTGGATTAAGTTTGAGTTAGGTTTGTATCGCTTATAACATAGAGATAGGTCTAATATAATATCCAGATGGCTCCTATTGAAACAAGACCAATGGCATACAGGTCATAAAGCAGAAAGATTGCCACCCAACCTATAAGAGGATGTGATAGGATATCTTCCAGCATTATTTAAGAATTGGCATTATACTCACCTAACAAAATCCGTCTTCTCTAACTGCCTAAGCTCCATGGGACTGACACTGCTCAAAATTCTAAGACCATCATCATGCCTGGCACATAGTAAATAGGTACTTAAAATACCTTCTCCTACAGAGACAAACTGATGATGAAGTAGGCAAAACACTGAATTTAAATTATGAAAACAAAATATGAATTCCCTGGAGAAACCCTAAGCATATCATTTCACCTTTTTAGAGTTAGATTACTCATGAAAACTGTGGGACTAGATTATCTCTTTGGTCTTTTTTTAGCCATAAAATGGTATGTTTCTATCCATACTCAGTAACCAAGGATCAGTTCATGCATATTAAGAGGAAAAACATTCAGTAAAAAAGAAGGAAGTATAAGATAGTGTGAAACAATAACATACCAAGTAACAATTGGGAGTAAAAAAAAAAATGCAACACAAAACTAACAGGAAGAAGTTATCTGTAATATGAGAAAAGAGGTCATTCAGATGTGCCATCTGCCTATTAGCTTCCTGTCTTATTCTAAGCAATTTGTGATTAGAAATTACTTCTGTGCTGGATCCACACTGCTAACCCAGAGGCTTGCTCCTTCATGAGCAAGTGTAATTTCCATGATGGATCCTTCAACCCTTTCAGACATCCCTTTTCAGAGTAGCACTCTTGCTTGTGCCTTTCTCCCAGATTTTCCTACCTCCTCTCTCACCATTTCAAATAGTTTTTCTTGTCATAAATAGAATGCCTATTATATTGTGTGTCCCCCATCCCCTGCTCCTTATCCTGCCCCCTGCAATGATTAATGTCCAAATGCCCGTAATTTCCAATTTATTGCTTAAATTTAGAACTTAGGATTCTCAGTACAAAAAAAAATCATAAAATGGCATCTCTATAAGTAAGTCAAGGTAACCCATTTATACCCAAGCTGCTCTAAGGAACTGACCTCAGATCCTTTTGGGAAAAAAAGGCCTTTATTAGGCAAAATATTATTAAAATTAGCAACTAATATCACAGTACTACTATATATCACATATTAAGTTTTAAGTGCTGTATACCAGCAGTTTATACTGTGCATATAAACTATGCTAAGCATTTTACATATATTAGCTCATTTTGTTCTCATAATATCTCTATAAGGGACATTCTAATTATTCTAATTATTTAAAGGTGAAGAATCTGAGGCTCAGAAAGAGTAACTTACTGGTTACATGGCTGGTTAATACAAGAACCACATCCATCTGACTCCAGATTCCTAGCTGTTACCCATTACTTGATCCATAAGGGCACTGATCTTTGAGAGAAATGAGGAGGAGGTACCAAGGGAGGATCAAAAGCAGAGAGCCTAGGCAAATAAAATCAGCAGGATCTACTTCTCAGTTTTGCTTAGAGCCAGCCCTATTTGAAATAGAACCTTGTTCCCATTATGTAGCAATAGATTATCTGCCATTTTGCATTGTGAAAATGTACCCTCCATTATCCAGGCTAATCTGGTTGACTGTAGAATGCTGTACACAAACATTACAATGACAGACAACTAATTCAGTCTTCTCTGCTAGGAAGATGCTAAGGTTAACATCTTTTCAACTTTATTCCTATAGCTTTGGATGCAGGGTGCTTCACTTATGTCACAACGATTCCTTCCTACAGTATCTAGAGAAGAAAAGCAATTGAGAATTGCTGGGAATAAGAGAGGATGGTATTTTTTAAAAAGAGGATTATAAAAAGTGATACAAACAAAATACTACCATAAGAATTTTTTGAAGAAAATTGGGGCTGGGGTTGTGGCTCAGCAGTAGAGCGCTCACCTAGCACGTGCAAGGCCCTGGGTTGGATCCTCAGTACCACATAAAAATAAATAAATAAAAATATTGTGTCCAACTAAAAAAATAAATATTAAAAAAAGAAAAACAGTATAAGTGAATTGAGTATTTGATAACTTGTGATTTGGAGAGAAATTAATATTTATGATCCATCACTAAATAAAGGAAATAATTACACTGTGCCATATAAATCATATGTTTAAATGGTCAAGCTGAAATTTTCCTATATTATGAAATAAAGATATTCAGTATTTCCTACAGAAGTAACACCTTACTGTTTGTGAGCTATGCAGGGCTTCATTTAATGGCAGCATCATTTCATCACTCAGCAAAAAGCCAATTATTTTTAGATTCTGGGCCCTCCTCTAACTTCTAAATCTTCATCTATTCACTAAGACATTGGTTTAAAAAAATGAATCCCTACTAAACAGTCATTAGGTGTTTCTGTGTGAAAATAAAAGTCTCAGTTTTGGTGAAATAATAGCTAGGAAGCACACTAGCAAACTCTGATGTCAAACAGGAATATATAATATCTAAATAAAAAGAATACAGCATAGGATGAAATATAACAGACAAACTCACTTAAGTGAGCATGCTTATGTTAAAAAGTTTGGAAGTAACACTTGGCTGTTTTAGGACTAAATGAAGTGGCAGAATCTAAAATAATATACCATTAAAATTTTTAAAAAAGAAGGTCCCAAAGTATCCTACTGAGAGACTCTAATGCCCTCATTCCAAGCCCAGTCAGTTTCTTATTCTAATCAATTTCCATGAAACAGGGAAAGGAGCAGGGAGGAGAGAGAGTATTTGAAAAACTGCCAGAGTTTAAAAAAAAAAAAAACCCCTATAATGAAATTTTGCTCATACTTGGAGAAATGAAGTAGAATTAGATGCTTCAGTGGCGGCGAATTCCAGAATCTGGGTAGTTTCCAGTAAATGAAGCTTTTCCATAATGTCAAATGCAAAAGCTATCTGATACCAACATTACTGAGCCGAGTGTTTAAATTCCTATTTCCTTACACCAAATTGTTTGAAACCTTTGAGATAAAAACTTCAATAAACTAGTGTTCCAAGCTTTTAATATTTTAGTCCCTTCAGCAAGCATGTCAGATTAATCTTCAGATTGCAGTGGGCATAAAGAACATTCAACCAAATTCTTAAACCCATGCCTCTCTCAAAGGATGTTAATAGCATAAGCAGTTTCATTGACTATTAGATTTCAAACTTTCCTAATCTTCAACTGCATTACCACTTTCTAAAAGGGGGGGCGGAGCGGGGGGGAGGAGCCATTCCCTCGTTAAAGCAAAGTATGTTACTTTATGTGATCTTTGTACCTACCCACTCAGTTGGTAGCACACTGCCAGGCACACAGTAGGCATTTAACAAATATTTTTGAAAAAATCTGATAGAATAGCCTGAGAGAGAGTGGAAATCTTGCTGAGAACAGCATGAGCCCAAATCCTGGCACTGCTGGGTAACAAAGACCATCTCCAGAATTAGGGTTATCGATGTAAAGCAGGAATTTGCCGGTGGATCTTCAAAGAGCCATCAGGAGGATTGTTTTCTGAGCTGGTGAGCAGTCACCCAAGAGTCACCCAAGAGCCACTTATGAAGAGATTATACTCCTCTCCTCTGTTTCATGCCTGGAAAACTCCTGCCCTCCACCACCACCACCTCTCCCTGCCTTTTCCTGGGTTTGGGGTTCCGCCACAGAACTTAAGTATAAGATTCCAGCCTCTGGTCTAACCAGCCCCCGACCCCCTAGCCATTCCACGGTGTTCATTGAGCAGGCAGGATACACAGCACACGACAGCTCCCTACACCTTTGAAGGTGAAAGCAGGAGGTGGGGGGGGGGGGGGCGGGAAGCAGGGGGAACTAAAGAACTGGTGAGTTCAAGATCCCGGCGCTAGCCAGAGATTTCTCATCCCTCACCCAAAGCCTCTGCCCCAACCGCTACAAAAGGCTGACAAGCTCAGGGAACTCGGGGCCGCCTGGGCCGGGACTTGGGGGAGAGGGGCAGGACTTGGGGCAGCAAGGTAGCAGGAAGCTAGACGGGACAGGGGACAGTACCTGGTGTGGCTGTGGTTGCGGGGGCAGTCCTTCTTCTCCATGATGGCCGGCACGCAGTTGGTGAGCTCAGTCCAGTCGGCATGCAGCCCGCAGCTCCAGCCGGTGGAGAAGCGGGAGAAGAGCCACGTCTCCTTCTTGCCGGGCCGGTGGCAGGTGCACTTCTTCTGGCCAGCTTTGCAGCTACAGGGCTGCTCCAGCCGGATGTTCTTCACCAGGTGCCGGCCGAACGTAGTGCCCCCGGTCTTCTGGATGTGCAGGAACACGATCACGTCGCGTCCTTTAATGTTGAAATCCACGAAGCGAGTCAGGTCCTTCAGGGTGAAGTTGAAGCGCGGCACGAAACGGGGTAGGGACCCGTTTTCGGGGGCCTCGGGGTCCGGCTCCTCTTCCTCTTCCTCCTCCTCCTCCTCTGGATCCCCCGGCTCCTCCTCTTCGTCCTCCGGCGCCGAGACCCCCTGCATCCCTTCGGGCGGCCCCCGGGGCGGCGGCGGCAGCTGGGGCCGCCGCTCCCACTCCTCCGGAGGCGCCTGTGCGCGGCGGGCGGGACTCGGGGCGGCTGGCGGGCGGGCCTCCCCCGCGCGGGGCTGCTCCCCGAAGTTGGTGCAGGAGCTGGTGCAAGAAGGGGACACGTACTGGTACATGATGACCACGAAGAGGAGAGTGAGCACCGGCGTCAGCAGCCACTTGTTGAACCTTTCATCCATGGTCCCACTCTCAGGCCGGCAGGTGAAGCGGCGGCGGCGGCGGCGGCGGCGGCGATGGCTGCAGCGGCGCGGACCGGCGCCTGCTCGGAAGTTTCGGGGACTCCGGGGCGCGGCTCGGAGCCCGCCGCTCCTCCATGCCCCTGACGCCGAGGCGTGTGGCTGGCTGGCGGCCCCGCAGCACTCGGGGGCTAACGAAGCCGGGGCCTGTGAGCCGAGCAGGAAAGGCGGGCGCCGGCGCGCGCGGCTGCGGCTGCGGCGTGGAGCGCCCTACACTCCCGGGGGCGCCGGGCTCGGCCGGCTCCCCGGCTCCCACCCGGGCGCGGCGCGGCGCTCTCAGGCGACACAGAGCATCCCGCCGCCGGCTCGCAGACGCTCAGGCGCTGGGAAGCGGGGATCGGGTCCTGGACCTGCCCGGGGCAGCCGGGCAGCTGGGCTGCTGTGGCCGCGAGCGCAGGGGCTGCATGCGGCTCGCCAGGGCGCCCGCCAAGGGCGAAGGCGCGGCCCGGCCCCGCCGCCCCAGGCGACCGTGGCACCGCGCCCCTCACGAGTACCCAGCACCTTTGCCCGTAGGTCGCCAGGCGCGGGATCTTCGAGGGCGGACGGCGCCCGCCGCAAGTTTGCAGAGCAGCCCCCTCAGCGGCAGCGGGCGACGCGCCTCTGTGGAGCCGCCTCTCCTGGATAGTCGCACTGCTGCTTCGGGTTGGTCAGCCCAGGAGCAGGGACGTAGACACTCTCTCACACACAGGCTGGCACAGCCACAACCCGCCAGCCGGTGTGACAGGAGCCCTGCTACCCGCAGCAAAAACCTGCCCTAGGTACGGAGCATGCGCCAAAGCCTTCCCCAGCCCCGGAGGAGTTTCCAGGGGAGGAGTCCGGGGCTCCGAGGGGCTCGGGGGCGGCAACTGGGGGTGGGAATCCCTTCAGCCTGGAGCGAAGAAAGATTTGGCAGGAAGGCTAAGGTGCAGCGAGAAACAGCCCCGAGGAGGGCGTCTCTGGTGCTGATCTGACACCCCTAAACTGGCAGCTTTCTCAGTTTGAGAGTGGACAGAAACCTGGGCGGCCTTCTTTACAGAAATAACGTCTCAAACCGCTGAAGGAACCACCTAAACTAAACACGGATTCGCTGGTTCCTCCTGGGCAGGGGAAATTGCTCCCCAAGACATCCTTAACTGGTGCTCAAAATTTATTTCGGTCCTTTCTCAACTACGAACTTACCTATGCCCAACTCCACTCTGTTTATTCAACCAGCATCCATTAGATGCCTTTTGTATATGAGACTCTGTGTTCAATGCACATTTCATTTCTTCCGGCTCCGGACTGTCCAGGCCACAACCATGCAGAACATACTAGTTAGTGATCACCTTCTAAATTCATTCTACTAATATGCACTGGGTTTCTTAATGTTCAAAGCTGACTCCTTTGCACCTACTTTTACATATATTTCTTTTTTTTTTTTTTTTTGAGAGAGAGAGAGAGTTTTTTTAATATCTATTTTTTAGTTTTTTCGGTGGACACAACATCTTTGTTTGTATGTGGTGCTGAGGATCGAACCCGGGCTGCACGCATGCCAGGCGAGCGCACTACCGCTTGAGCCACATCCCCAGCCCCATATATTTCTTTTTTTTAAAAAAAAAAAAAAAATTTAGGTTTTGACGGATATTTATTTATTTATTTTTATATGCAGTGTTGAGAATCGAACCCAGTGCCAAACACATGGTGGGCAAGCGATCTACCACTGAGCTATAATCCCAGCCCCCTTGGGTGGCTGTATTTCATAAGTTAAGCCCTTCTTTTCCTGCAGATGTTTTTGAAAACTTTATTTCTCAAGTATTTAGATTTTGTATTTAATCCCAAATATTTTCTTAAAATCAACCTCTATTTTTTAGATAATGAATGGATTTACCATCAAATTAGAGTAACTGCCCCACCACAATCCCTAGACCTGCTTGGCCTGCTTTCTGAGTGAAGAATAGCAGTGTATTGAAGTTGGAGTCAATGCAGTGTGACTTCCTGGTCCAGGCCAAACTGCTTCTCCTGGCTATCCTGCCAGCACAGTCCTGGGCATTCCACACCTCCATAGTAGCCCACCTGCCCAAGTGGCCTCTTTGTAATCTATGCAGTAAGTACTTCCTGAGACACTGTTGATCTCCTTATCATGTCCCCTTTGCAGCCATTCAGATCTCTTTAAGGTACGCTAAAGTTTGCCCATAGGAAATTTATTTTTATTATTCTTTTTAAAAAATATTATTTTTGGGATTCTTCTCAATAAAGTTTTCTTCCTTTGTTTCCTTTCCTGTTTGTGACTCTATAAACATCCACAAACTGTGCCCTTACTGAGGGAGCCTATATTTGTTAGAAAGGTGTTGGGTTAGATAAATCAGCTTCTCTAAAGTTCATTTGATTCTATTTATTTTGCTCTCACTTAGGTTTAAAATACCATTAATGGCATCACACTACACTTCAAAGCAAGAAATCGTGAGAGAATAAGAACCCAATAGAATCCAGCAATTTAAAAAAAAATTTTTTTCAGTTATAGATGGACACAATACCCTTTATTTTATTTTATTTTTATGAGATGCTGAGGATTGAACCCTGTGCATCACACATGCTGGGCATGCACTTTACCACTGAGCTACAACTCCAGCAATTATTTCTTGAATACATCTAGCTGATGGTGTTGCTTATTTATATATGTATATATACCTCCAAATATATATATATATATATATAAAACCTTTGCTTTAATCAAGTAATAAAATCATTATACTTTTTCATATAACCTTATTTGAGAAGGTTCTTATTTTCTATACATTTACTTGATATCACACAGAAAAATAAAACCTTTTTAGTCACCTAAATTGTTAACTGGAGCACTAGTGGTAATTTCCATAGTGGAAAGCTCTTTCCTAGCCATTGTGCCCTTTGTACCTCAGAACAAAATCCTTAAGTAGATGAATAAAGTATAATATCCCATTTCAAAGATGAGGAAACTGAACCAAAGAAAGGTAGGTGAAAGCAAAGTCAGTTTTAGAAACTAGTAACTTCCCTGGAGTATATTCAAATCATCACTGAAGAAATCCAATGAACATCAACAACAGAGCTCATAATTTCCTCTCTCCCCTCTTGGGACTCTTTGAGTCAGGAAGCAGGAAGAGACAACAGAATAATTAAATTATTTTCCCTTTCCCCTGGCTTTATGAGCAAAGCTGAGCAATTCTGCATCCTACAGTACTTTGGAACCTAGTCTGTGAGTTTCCAGATAAACAGGGGAAAGATAATAACAACCATGAAATTATTATACCATTATTAAAATAAGTTATTTAGAAGAATTTCAAAAGAGAATATTGTAACAAATATAACAGCTATGTTGCTAATACAACTTGTGTGTCCATAAGAATGTCCTTAACAAACATTATCCCAGAAGTTCTCTTTCTGGTTCCAGTAAAATACCTAATGGAGTGCCACCATTTCTTTTAGGTAATCACATGGAAAACAACACATAGAGTCAAGGCAATTACATAGATAATTCAGGCATGTACCAGGTATTCGTTTTTAATGACAGGTAACGTTGGTTGGGTAAACATGGTCTGTCCTAAATTTGGTCTTGGTATGACCTAATCAATGCTCTTAAATCATGCAATAAACAGGCTTTCTTATCTACAAGGGCAGACCTCACATTCGGGCAAAAATGAATAGAAACTTTCTAAAATTGAATGTTCTCCAGGTAAAAAGGAAAAACATGTTTGCATTCAGCCTACTATAGTTACTCCACGATGACACCAGCTGGCAATTGTTTTCTGGCTAACAGATTGCAGCTACTATGATTCCTACACAAATTATTAAAATAATAAAAATAATGTTTTCAAAGAGCTTTCTTCGACTTCCTTTGCCAGTCTAGCAATGAGCTTAACACTATCTGTGAGGCAATTTGTTCACCTAATTTTATGCCTTAATAAGCTTTACTACAATTATTTTCTTGCCTGATTATTTCTCTGCCTTAACTTTAGTACTCTTCTTCCTTTTTCTTCTCAGATATACTCAAACCTGTTAACAACATTGCACTCCCCCAGGATTCAAACTTTTGATTAGAACAGTCTCCATTTAATCAAGTTCAATTGGGAGATAAAATTGCATCTCAACTTCTTCGTTTTCCCTTTGGTGCAAGAAACTGCCTTGAGAATGTTGAGGAAACCCTGGAGAGATTAACAATCCAAACAATAACAGAAAATGGTTTTGGATCCCTACATTAGCACACAGAAATATATAGATATGAATGCCTTTCAATGGTGATGAAAAACAAAATAGATTATGTCAGTCTATGGCAGCGTGAATCTATCTTTCAAAAATAGAAAATGCTCTTATACACTGAAATGACTTCTTTCTCATTTTTTGTAAACAACCCCCCCAACCCCCTAGGGTAAGCAGTTTGCAAATAACAGCAAAGTGGTAGGGTTTTGTGGTGTTTTTTTTTTTCCTTAGGAAATTAAATGTAAGACTTTGTATAGTCAGGGCAAACTGCAAAAAGAATTGTGATATATACTAAATGCATTCCAGTTCACTACATGATTGTAACTTGGGGGCAACTGTGACCCTACATTCTGCTTCCAATAGCTTTCTATTTTTATAAACAGCTCATGTTTTGCTTTATTGTACAACCTCTTTATTCACCATAGATGGCAATCTGAGTGAACAGTGGAAACTATGTTAACTGTATGCATAATGTATTAATTCAATATAATGTAAGTAGATGCACTCATTTTTTTCACAGTAGATATGTATTTATTTCTTCAACAAGAACTGGTTAAGCGTTTATTGTATACTGGCTATTGTTCTGAGTGTTTTAGACACACCATGAAACAAGAACAATAAGAACCCTGCCCACATGTATCTTACATTCCAACAGTGGAAAAATGAATGATGAAGAAATAAGTGAAATTCATGCATTTAATTAAAAGATGTATGTTGACACCCTGACATGTGTCAGACAGATACTTTTAGGTACTTGGGATACACTAGTGAACAATAAAGGTGATAATTTTTGTCCTAAAAAGCTCAAAAGCCAATAGTACAGAACAGTATAGAAAGAGTTAGATAATGGGAGATGGGTCATGTCAGGACTTGTGAGACATTGTAAGAATTTCACTCTTAGAGAAATAGGAAATCAG